TCAGCCAGTAGTAATGAGTAACAGCTAGTGCATGCTCTCATTCAATTTCAGTGTCCCTAGGGAATGATGTTTGCCTGATGTCTTGATTTTTTTTTTTTAAACAATGATGTTATCTCTGTGGCCTGCTTAGTGTAGCGAAACAGTCAAATCAACACTAATTTGACTCTGTCTCAGCAGATGAAAGCAGCCTTGGTTTGCCTTTATGGTTCTGGATGAGGATGAGCGTGTTTAGTGATACATGAGCCCTCTTTAGTCAAATAAACTGACTTGAAAGTGAGGTGAAATAAGTAAATGTGATTAAAAGATTTCATCATTTCATTAAAAACAGACTATGAGAAGACTTCGCTGAGGCCACCTATTTCATAAGTCATGAGCCCACGTCATCCACCTCATCTTAGTTTTATATATTAAAACAAACACGTACAGGTTGGTCGACCCAGTTGGATCTAATGTCCTGCTCAATATATTTGGTTACTTATGAGACTAATCTCTCAAATAACAATCCAAATTCATCTGCTGCATGTTAAACCAAAGCTGGGCATCTTCAACAACTATCACAGTAAAAATTTTAATTAGTGCTTTGAGAGGCATTCTTCTTCACAAGCATTCGTTTTAGTCAGTATTTCCCTTTTTACTGAATAACATTTAGGACTATTTGTCCCATTCACAAGGCTTCAAGGAGAGAGAGAGATAGAGAGAGAGAGAGAGAGAGAGAGAGAGAGAGAGAGAGGATGATATTTAAAAAGGTTCTGCTCAGCAGAAAGCTGAGTTTTAAGTGACTGCAGTGGTATTTGGTGTCATCCATTTTGAGATCAATGATTGGTGTGTTTGTAGCTCAGGCAGAAGTGAGAATGCCATTAACTTCACTGCCCTCTGTGAAGGAAGACAGCCAGAACAGACATGTGACCTGAGGAAGGGCGGCACTGCCATCTTTTGAGTTCTGGCAAGCTATCTACGACCTCTATCTTCCTTAATCCTTCCCCTTCTAATTACCTATCCCTTCTCCTCCTCCTCCCTCCTTACCTCATACCCATGCCCCCTGACTAATGGTTAGCAGATGATCAGTTGAACAAGAAAGGCTGAGATGACTCCCAATCTTAAATCACACCTCATTAATTTAGCTCCACGGTGTCCCAGTTTCCTTACTGGTAAATTTAATGAGTTGTGATGGAGTGACAAGGCATCACCAACGTAACTTTGAGATGCAGAGCCAAGCTTGCCATAGTGCTCATGATGATGTGAGAGGAGGGAGCCTTGGTGACGGCGGCATCTGTTCTGGAAACCAGATTATAAATCCAAAAGGAGGCCAGGCCTATCTCGAGAGAGTTTTCCCTCTGCACAAATATTTATGAAAATGGGTCTCAAACAGAGTGCAAAACAACTATTAACCCCTCTGACTGCTGAAATGTTGCTAACAGCCCTCGCTGACCCCACCATCATTCACAGCCAGAGAATCACTTGACTCAAACACCATTCACGCATTGCCGCAATATAGCTACAAGAAGAAGAGACGACAAATCATGTTTGTTTGTTCTATAACATTACTACACTGCATTAAAATGCTGCAAGGCCTCTGATACAAGCAAAAGCAGTTTACGAGACCAAGTGGGCACTGTGGTGCATTTTGGAGTCAGTGTAGTGCAGCAAGCTGATTGTTATTCCTGGCACCAGATGTGCCATCAGCCCTACACAGACATCAAACTTCACTGCCCCCAAGTCAACATTAACACACAGGCAGGTAATGTGTGGTAGCCAAACCACTGGCTCTCAGCAAGACGTCAACAACAAACAGGCTAAAAAAAAATGTCACATACAGAGACTTTGGAAAAGTTGATGTTGATGTTTGATTCCCTCTGAGTTTGCATGTTTCAGGAGCACAGACCACTGATTTTATCCACATACCGTACCCGTCAGAACTGATGAAGCCTCTTGGATGAGAGGTGAAACGTCTTTGACCTGGATGACTGAGAATCTGCACAGGTAAATCTGCAATAATTCTGGATATTAAATAAAGAGTAACTTTAAATGCGGGTCAGATAAACTAGTCGTTGTGGAATGTTCTACTGTCTCTAAAACATTATCAGATCAGAAATCCTTTTTCTTGATTGTGAGAAATGGACAAGTGCTGTTCAAAGTATTCAGACAGGAATGCATTTGCAGGTCCATTTGTACTATAACAGTCAGGTGGAAACTCCAAAATGACCAAAATTACTACTGTGTTCTTTATATTAAACATTATTATTATTTAAACCTCATGATTTTAACAAAAGCTCTGACTCTCCCCAGCCAAAGCATATTTCAATCATATTTTTGTAAAAGGCTTGTTGCACTTTAAAGCAATCGCTTAACATGACAGAAGCCATTTTGATGGACTGTCGTCAGTTATTTGATGCCAGTTAAAGCAAAATGTTTCACTCTAAAGATTAGAAAAGACAACCATTTAGATGTTGTAATTGTTTCCTGTATTATGTTACATATCCTTCAACTGACTGGTGCACTACTGAATAAAAGCACCCCCCCCCCACCGACACACACACACACACACATGCAAGATAAAATGAAAACCTTTTCAGTCATAACTGATTTCAATCATATTTTATTGTAACTAGAAATGTCATGTAACCTCAAATCCAGTATCATGTATTTTAGTGCAACGTTGGCTGAATGGATTATTACATCCCTTCCTGCTGCACATGTGCATGCAGTGGGGGTTGGCGTGCCCAGAATTGATTAGTTCATCCAATTTCGTGTGCATTGTGAAGACTAGAGCAAATTATCCATCAAAGGCGTCTTGTCTTTTTGTTCATACAAACCTCACAAAATTAGGTTTCATGGGCCTTAAGTCAGTGTATAATTCACGAAAGACGAGACATAAAACTTGACATCTTCACTGTCTCACAGACTGACCTGAGACTCCTTTCAACTGCCCAATGCTCCTCAACAGAAGAAAAAGAGATCACTGGATAATTACACACACTAAAACATAAGCTAGATACTGTAGAAAACTCTCCAATGTAAAAGAAAAAGGATACAACACAGGGGAAGAGACCATACAAGCAGGAGGGAAGGAGAAAGGCTGCGCACCAGACAGAGCATTTATTATTACCTGACTGACCTCCATATTGTGTTGTGTGAGTGTAATGGGAAAGGACACACTCACTGGCTAAAGCGCAGCAAGAAAGGTACTTTTCATCCTCCCTCTCTTTGCTCCCTCTTAAGCAGTTTGTCACTTTCTTCTTTCTCTGTTCAGTTTCTATTCTTGGACAATGTACTGTAGGATCCCATTATGTTCACAAATACAATAACAGCTTGTTGAGACAATACCATGCCTAATGCAATGCATACTGAATAGCACTTTCTCTGAACATATGTGTGAGTGTATACTGGCTAACTGTCCAGTAGATGTGGGAATATGATGACAAGATTAAGAGTTCACACTTACACAAGCAGCTCTGTGAGGCTGTGCATACCGGTGCCTTGAGATAAATGCTAACACTGGTGTGCTAACATGCTCACAATGGCAATGCTAAGCAGGTATACTGTAATGTTTATCATGTTCACAATCTTAGTCTAGCTTGTTGGCATGCTAAAACTCACTAATTAGTAATAAATACAAAAGTGCACCTGAGGCTGATTAGGGAATGTCACCAATTAAAATGTTTTGGCATGATCATGGTGCTAGATATAAACCACTTTTGGACTCTTTTGGACAGACAGTCATAGCAAGCAGCATGAGTAAAGCAATAATACTCTATATGTTACTTAAAATAAAAGTATAAGGTGTCAGAGAGACAAGGCACCTTATACAGCTCTGCTGGACAGCATAAGGGAAGCAAGTACTGCTATTTATCTCAGTGAATGATTGCTTGACCATGTGAGTGATTTAGTGTCTTGATCCATAATTTGCTTCTACTAATTGCATCTGAGCAACTGAAGCACAAACTCATCAGAGGTAAGCTTGAAACAGAAGTCTATAATGGTGTATACTGAGTATACTAAACCTCCCACTCTGGTTTCCAATCTCAGAAAAATGTCATGCCTACCACTGATCAGTAATGCTGCTTGGTAAACAAATGTCCTTTGAGACAAAGGGAGTTTCATCTTATTTTATCTTACACACACTTAAGTCTATGGAGGTTAAATGTCTCACACTGAGGTTTTCAATTTCATTATTCTGGGAGTGAAACTATTTTGAACTGTATATTGGAGATACTGTTTTGTCTGGACACCCAGCAAATTACCCACTAGCTTCAGTATTTAAAGGTATAACAAAACTAGACCTTAGTCTTGCCATCTCTGACAGCAATAAATTAGTACCATTCATGGCCAGCAACTACTACTACTACAATTTCACACAGGCACAATCCTGGTTAAGTGTCATCTCCTCAGGTGGCGCTTCCCTATGTGCTGAAGGTATTCTTCTGACTGTGAACAAATCTTGACTCGAGCTACTCTATTCACATACTGTAAGTACTAAGTCACTTCATACAAAAACATCTTTCACATACCGATTCTTTTAGCATATCTAGGTTCACAAACAAAATGAGCTCTTGTGATTTTTGTGACAGCGTGTGTTACTTGCTTTCCATGTTTGAGTGCTGTATGAATCATATGTGTGAGCTTGAATGAGCAACATTTTAAATTCAAAGCCTTGACACTAATTGCCAAGATAGAGTGTCAGATTTTGATGTCAGCACAAAAAAACTAAAGCAAACATGAAAAAAAATGATTAAAGGAGCATAAATCAAATGAAAAGAGTGAGAAAGGTGCAGAGGTTAAGGCATGTAAGAAGACAAATCTTTTCAGAGGTAGTTACAAAAACATTTAGATGGTAACTGACTATGTTGTAACTATGGATGTGAAGCAAAGATGTGACCAACAAATCCTCCTTGTAATGTGAAATCTCAGCATTCATTAGAATGAGTGCCCCCTTGGGCTCGGGAACAAAATCAAGTTGAAACACCAACAAATCAATATATGCACGGAACCAGGCCTCTTACCTTTGACTCTGCTTGATCTGTAGTCTTTGTACATCCTAGAGATGCAGATGCGGAGCTTCTCTCGGCTTGTAGCGAATCTGTTTTGGAAACAAAACCAAGGATAACAAAAGTCTGATCAGTCTGGGATTGTTCAGTTCAGAAAAATGCCACACACGAGTCTCCAACACTACGACTCTGCAACCTGACTTTATCATTATGTAGTCATTCAAGGACAGTGAGTGAGAGGAGCAGTTAGGAAGGGGCCAAAGTAAAATGGCTTTGTCTTGAACAGAGAGAGAAGGCAAATAGAGGAAAATGTAATTCATCCGCTTTTCCAAGAGACCTGGCCTCCCTGTTTTGTGGAGCAGAAGCCCATTCGAGCCAGAGAAGGCTCTGAGGTGCAGGAGGGTTCCATTGACCGCACTATTAACACTCAGAGTGGGGGGGATCAGCATAGAGGATATACAAAACGCTGCCAGAAAGATGCACAGAGAATTCTGTAATGCATTTCATTCCACCGAGAGGGGCCCTGAGGGCGCCATGATGACCAGAGTAATTGGCTTTCTCCAGCTATGATAATCTGCATCAGTCATGCCATGCCAACACACTCTCAGGCCACTGAGAAGGTCACAATAATTCCCAAACCTTGGTCCTCTCTGCTGACAGCAGCGTCTGAATTCTTATTAAGGAATACAGGCAGCGGGACATTTGTTCTGCATTCTTCAGATTTTACCTTTAGTTCAAGGACTTCATACTTTTGCTTATGACTTGAGATTTGATTTATTTTGCATTGTCTCACCAATAAACAATGACATTTAAACATTAAAAATGGCTAACACATACTGTAGGTTACATATCACACAGTGAAACTAAAACAATAAGTCAACTGACTGAAAATCAGCCATTTTCATAACAGATAACAGAGTCGTTTATCCAACCAACTGAACTGCCATACATTCTCTGGTTTTAGCCTTTCAAATGTTCATCTTTTGGTCTGTTTCTCTGTTTTACACAACTAGTTAAACAGTTGGATACACTTTCCCATGAATTCAATGGACAAGTGTGTCCAGACCTTCGACTGGTGGGGTATATCACTGCAAACCAAACATCGCTGTGTATTAAACTAGCCAAACAAAACAGGTCATTTGAACATGCCAACTTGGGTTTTGAGAAATGGCATCAGGTATTTCCCACGTTTTACTAAAACTAAATACTTACATGATCATTATCGAATTGATAATGGAAATAACTGTTAGTTGCAACAAGACACAATACAAATCATACTAAATGAAAACAAGCTACATAAAGTAGAGCCCATCGACTGTATGGATTTCATCGTTTCTGTTATTCTCTGTCTTGCACCAGGCAGAGGAAAGATTTATCACTGCCTGACATGTAGGTACTTTTATGCTGACACATACTGTATACGACAAGCACAACAAGCTCTTGGCACACACAATACTGTCTTCATGGCATTTTACAAGCTACTATACACTTCTGTGAACTGATCACTGATAACCTACACAGTAGATGAGCAGTTTACAGCACCCAAACCTTGTCATCAGTTGAGGACATACTGTACATACACATTGCAGGTATATACATTATCTTCCATTAAATCTTCTGCAAATTGATTGCCAAGATATTTTATGACATTGACAAACATTTCTGATTGTTATTCAGAACACTTTACGTTTGCAGATTAAACAGAAACAAGATGGCGATAGCTAGATTTGACTTTCAAAACTGCTCTTCAAAAAACAACAATGGGTGATGTCACAGAGGGTTCATCCATCATCTACATACAGTCAGTCATGTAAAATGTAGTGTTTCCAAAGACCAAAGTTCCAGGTTTCTATTGACTGAAATGTACATTTTTACTTGCATTTGTCTGCACAAATTCATTACTAATATTTTCTTATCAACACTGATGACCTCTGATGACCTGCTAATACGACTCAGTGTAGACAATCTGACCCCTGACACAGGATATAATGAGGGGATGTTTATGAATGAATGTACATTTGTTTCCTTGTCCCACATGGTTTAATATTAAAACCAATGTAGACTGGAATTAACAGGAATGCACAGGTCGCCAATCTATCGCAGGGCTAACACATAGACAAACAACCACACACACGCACATGCACTCCTATGGGCAATTTAGAGACACCAATCAACCTAAGCTGCATGTCTTTGGACTGTGGGAGGAAGCCGGAGTACCCGGACAGAACCCACGCAAGCACGGGGAGAACATGCAAACTCCACACAGAAAGGGTCCCAGGTGGGGCCCAAACCCGGAACCTTCTCGCTGTGAGGCAATGGCGTGCTGCCCTGATTTTTACATATTACTAAGTGGAGGAAAAGAAACTAACCAGGATTCCCTCAGTAGCGGCGAGCGAAGAGGGAAGAGCCCAGCGCCGAATCCCCGTCCGACGGGCGGGTGTGGGAAATATGGCGTATGGAAGACCGCTTGCCCGGTGTCGCTCGGGGGCCTGAGTCCTTCTGATCGAGGCCGACCTCAGATCAGATGAGACGACCCGCTGAATTTAAGATTTTCAATTAACTGTTCCTAATTATACAAACAGAGCATTCGTTCTTAACCAAGAAACCTAAAAACCATAACTGTGTACAAATTATACAATTTCAACTTTAAACTAAAGCATGAAACCTTTTTTAAAAAGGCTTTTTAGCTGAAATATGTTCCAAAACATATTTTAATGTGGAAAGGCTCCTGTGACCCAGACTCATTGAACAGCCTGGCAGCAGCACAGATATTCCCTCCTACAGTTTTGGAATGAGCCTCACCCGTCTAACCAAGAAGAGAATGCCAACGTCTGGAGTGGAAGCTCATGGCTGGTGATAAATACATGAATGAGCTTCAGGTCTACTGCTCCTCTTCCACTGAGATTTTAACCGTCGCTATGGCTGACTCACAGGCAACCAAGCTTCCGATTACAGTGTTAGCTGAGACAGCCAGCAAGGGGAAGGTGGAAAGAAAAGGAAGACTTTTGAAGAAAAAAAGCAAAAAGAAACTGTCAAAGCTCGGTTTAGATCAAGAATTGACTGTATATGTGCTCCTGCTTTCAGTAAATGAAGTGAGTTGAGAGAGAAGAGGAACTCCCAAATGGATGCCAATTTGGCATTATTTGTGTTTGACTGGTAAGTTTTGCAGCAGTGCTAAAAGGGAGCGCTGGGCAAAGCAGAGTGGATTGATTTTGGGTCTCATTCTACCACTAGCTTCATGTCTTCTTTTATCTGCAAGTTAAAAGTTTAGCAGGAAAACCCCTTAAGTATACAGTCCAGTGTTAGCTAAGTTAAAAAAAATC